GTAGTAGCAGTAGTAGCAGTAGCAGCAGCCGTAGTAGTAGTAGCAGCAGCAGCAGCAGCAGTAGTAGTAGCAGCAGCAGCAGCAGTAGCAGCAGCAGCAGTAGTAGTAGTAGTAGTAGCAGCAGCAGCAGCAGCAGACAACAACACCAGCAACAGCAGCAACAACAACAATAATAACAACAACAGCAGCAGTAGCAACAGTAGCAGCAGCAGTAGCAGCAGCAGCAATAACAACAACAGCAACAGCAGCAGCAACAACAATAATAACAACAACAGCAGCAGTAGCAACAGTAGCAGCAGCAGTAGCAACAGCAGCAATAACAACAACAGCAACAGCAGCAACAACAACAATAATAACAACAACAGCAGCAGTAGCAACAGTAGCAATAACAACAGCAGCAACAGTAGCAGCAATAATAACAACAACAGCAGCAGCAGGCAACAACAACAACAACAGCATCAGTAGCAACAGTAGCAGTAGCAGCAGCAGCAGCAATAACAACAGCAGCAACAGCAGCAGCAGTATTTCCCAAACGGCGTCACATCAGATTTTTGATCGGTGGATAAACGATGATAGCAACGGACGCAAATAGTCAATTCAGATTTCAATCAGCCAATAATCCTGTTATTAATTATACTCCTCGTCCGTCCTGCTACATGTGAGTCTCGACCCGTCCCAATTACGGAATTTATTAATTAATCAAATCGGTCAGGCGGGGATAATTAATGATGCGGAAAAACCGCGTCGACACGCGCGCGCGACGTCGGGCGCAAACAGTATAAGTTTGTCTCATTGGGTTGTTGACATTTTTACCGACTCATTTAGCGCGCAACGTTATCATACTTGATGTAATAATATGATGGGAAAGAAGGTCACTGATGGGCGGGGGGCAGGGGGAGGGGGGTGATAAGGAGTAGGAGTAGGAAATAAGGTGAAGTAGGCAAGAGAGGCGCTGGGAAGTGCAGAAGAGGATTAGTAGAAGTCAAGTGGTAGAAGTAGTAGTTATAATAGTAGTAGTAGTAGTAGTAGTAGCAGGAGTAAGATAATATTGGAGTAAAATAGGAGTAAGATAATATAGAAGTAAAATAGGAGTAAGATAATATAGGAGGAGTATGACACTCCAAAACACGAGAAATTCAACATTTGCTTGCCTAATTTTACCTTATTATCCTATATTATCTTACTCCTGGTAGTAGTAGTAGTAGTAGCAGTAGCAGTAGCAGT